TGTTCCACCGCCATCCTTCCCATCGTGGTAACTGAGTTAACTGAATAGAATTGTCAGAGTGTGTGTCAACCCCTGTACCTAAGGGTTCCGATGTACAGTGATTCCAAGCAGGGGGCCGGAGCCAGGTGGGGGGTCTCCGGCCAATGAAGACGCCCCCCACCTGGGTGAAAACGTACCTGCGTTTTTCCAATTTAATTTTTAATCAAGCTCTAAAGTGCTAATGCAAGATGAAAACAATGTTGAAACATCTCCAATTTTCCGGACTCCATCGCCTTTCCGTTCTGCATTTTTGAGTCAAGGTCTAGTTGCACTTAAGGGAAACTTTTGTTAAACTATACTGTTCTCGCTGACCCATGCGCCTTTCTGTTCCCTCACCTTCCTTCTCAACGTGGGAACTGAGTTAACTGCAACCCAATGTCAGAGTGTGAACCGCTCAGCCGTCCCACTTGGGTGCTGGGTGTGATCCCCGTGAAAGGGGCGCTGCAACCATGCCGGAACTCATCCCTCCCTTTTATAACTGAATCTTTCCACTGACTCACCTGGTTCCACTTCCATAACTGAATTCGCTGACCAAAAAGCCGCCGGGCTTTCACGGTGAACAACCACGGCCGCCGGGCCAAAAAACGGAATTCCACTTGCGGTCAGGCATGTTCCCTTCCCCCCCCCCCCGGCCGAGTTCTACTCCCCACCTAATTAGGGCAACACGGGGAAATGGTACTCGACACACTTGTGTGTCGGTGCCTTTCCCTTTGTTGTTCCTGTTCTAGTCTTCTCTACCCGGGCGGTCTAAGACTAAAGTCCCGCTCCCTAACTATTGCATTTAATTCGCCTCGGCTAAGTAATCAGTAACTCTAGAGTGCTAAGTAGTCATACACACACACACACGGACACACACACATGCTACATACACCCCCTCCCTACCCCCCCTTTCTTTCTTACGCTTTCGGTGGTTTCTTGGGCTTTCTCTCAGGCTTTTTAGGTTGTTCTTGAGGCTCGTTTCCCTGCCCCAGTCAAGGGCTAAGTATATTCACCTTTTTTCTACACCTATCTTTCTCTCTTGCCCTCTTAGCGCTGCTCTTTCTGTGTTTCTTTCTTTTGTTTCTAAGGCTTTTTAGGTGCCTATTCAGGTCGTTCGCACGAGCGCCGCAAAGCGGCACCGTGTGTGTGTCAACCCCTGTACCTAAGGGTTCCGATGTACAGTGATTCCAAGCAGGGGGCTGGAGCCAGGTGGGGGGGTCTCCGGCCAATGAAGACGTCCCCTACCTGGGTGAAAACGTACCTGCGTTTTTCCAATTTAATTTTTAATCAAGCTCTAAAGTGCTAATGCAAGATGAAAACAATGTTGAAACATCTCCAATTTTCCGGACTCCATCGCCTTTCCGTTCTGCATTTTTGAGTCAAGGTCTAGTTGCACTAAAGGGAAACTTTTGTTAAACTATACTGCTCTCGCTGACCCATGCGCCTTTCTGTTCCCTCACCTTCCTTCTCAACGTGGGAACTGAGTTAACTGCAAACCAATGTCAGAGTGTGTGTGGATGGGATCGCATTGGACGAACGCGAATGTTCTTCACTAGAGTCAGAGAGGTCAAGTTTGAAGATGCGTTGGCATTGCTTGTTGTTTTTTTGGACAGGTGGTTGGTTGCTTTTTTGGGCGCAGCCAGCTACTAGCTTTACACAGATATGGAACCTTAATTTAGTTTGGTAAATGAACAGGTCGAAAGGACTTGACTGTGTGTAAGTATTCGGCAAAACTGAATGTGTTCGTGCTTCATTCAACTATATACTTTCACTATAGGACACAGAGGAAACAGTTCAGACATATGTCGCATTGAGTGCACTAAGTCGCATTGTTTGCCTGCGGGAATTGGCCAAGAGATTTTGAGAGGTTCCTTGTTTTGGCAGCTATACATTGGTGCAGGATTTGTTCTTGAGAATGGAGAGTCGTATCGGTTGACTGCCAGGGTTATCCAAGAGCTTCCCAAAACAGGGTCGACCGATTGGGTCACCTGGCGTGTCACCTGAATCCATTCGTAGGTTTGCTCCACAGACAGTGGCTGTGGCAACAGCACTTTGTGCGCTGCGGCGTGGCATCCTGGAGAACTGGGAGTACATAATAATGAGGAGCAGCACATGTCACATGTTCAACAATCGCCAAATGACCTGCAAGTGGGGACGATGTTCAATAGAACAAACGCTGGAAGTCGTGCCTATGTTGAACTCGCTGGAAGTCGGGCCACCTTGATGATACACCCAGATGACTCATGATCATTGACATCCCAAGACTGACAGATCGATGGGTCGAACCAACGCAAGTCCCAAGAGGGCCCACTGGATCGATGAGTGGAAACCAGCCGCTCCGCGGAGCGGCCCGAGGTTGGACCGGAGGCTCAAGCTGGGCACAGCCGCCATGTTTGCAAGGCAATGGAAGCAGGCAATGACTGAAGACTGAAGTCATGCGAAGTGATGGAATCCTTTGCAAGATCACTTCCAGTTGTTTCCTGGTTGAGCAACTGAAACCCTGAGAATCCTTGCGTTTTTGCCTCACCACTGGACCAAAACATCGCTACCCATCAGGAGAGATTGGGAGCGACCCATCAGGTGAGACGCGACTCATCGCTCCCAACCCGCTCTCCCACGGTCGGTTCCGCACCAGTGACTGAGTGGTGTGTAGATCAAAGAGGGAGACCTCTCTTTTCGACGGACTCGGAAGAAGGAACAACCCCAAAAGTATCCCCAAAAAAATCGAAAATGGTGCGTGGATGTGAGTGGTCTTCTTTTATGAAAAAGCACACACCCCAAAAAACCAGGTTAAGATTGTATATAGCGATACTACTCAGACTTTGCAAATGGGTTTTGAGGGAAGTGCGTTTCACCTGCAGATCACCGACGAACCGACCGTACCGACCGTTGTGCCGCCGCAGCTTGGGCTCTGAAAGACCCCCCGAGCGGACGGCGAAGGGGGTTGGAGGTCCCGGGGGTGTTTAGCAGCAGGACTTCATGTCGCTTGGCTATGAATCACAAAGGAACAAAGGGGTTCAAAGGGACATGTTTCACAGGGTTTGAAGATTCGAAGTGAGTCATGTAATCAGAGGGTTTCGATGATTCATGATGTTCTTCATGGAGATTCGAAGTATCAGCTCAAAACGCTTTTTCGTTCGATCAGCAGTCACCTCGTCCATGAGATCGGTGCTTCGGCCCTGTCGGCCCTGTTCGGCCCGGTCGGCTCAGGTACTCAAGTCGGACGTGTTGGCTGGTGCTGGCAGCTTTTGCAGAGGAGATGGGACCGGTGAACACATTCCCCACTCCAGATTCCCGTGTTTGCCTCCATTGAAAAGCAATTGTTGTAGTTGCAAAACTGTTTGCTTTCTTGTTATGCTACAGGTCCCTCCCAGACTTCGTCACTCTCTATCATTAAGAAAGGGTATATACATCATAACAATCATAACATATTTTTATATAATACACTAGAGATGCGCCATTTGCTCTGCTGGCCGCTACTGGCCACATACACCGAAATGACCGTTATTCATCAGAGCCTGGCTTAAACCAGTCTGCACCAACTTGGTGTCTGGAGTCTAGACTTCACAGCAGCGAAGACATGGATTCATACATGTTTCACTTCTGCTATGAATGATTTCACTCCTGGGGTGTCCAGCTCACTCTGCTGAATTCCAATCACCTGCTTTCAACATGATGCAGCTACTGCCACCATGTGTCCTGAATTTGGGGCAACTTGCCAATTGCACTGGATATAGAGATGCTGATTGGTGGATGTAGATCTTATACAGGCTGGCTACATCCAAGTGGATTCCAAGGGTGGCATTGCTCAAGGTAACTTGGATTTGGGAGCTGGCAATGGAAAGCTGACTCTGACCCAGGAGGGACACAACTTTTCCGGTGTTTGCTTTTGGTTGCCTGGTGAACGTTTTCTATGTATGACTGTCATTGTGTGTGTGTGTGTTCTGGGAACACCTCGATTTATGCAAAGCCTTGTCAATCGCACGAAGTTGACTGCCACGCTAAGATCATGGTCTGCCCAAGCCGGCGCATTTGAAGCACCGGAGCGCTGCACGTGTCCACAGCTCTGCACACGGCCATGGTTCTCCACATGGCCATGGGTCTCTGCATGGGCACAGCTCTGCGCATGGCCATGGGTCTCTGCATGGGCATAGCTATGCTCATGGCCATGGGTCTGCACATGCCCATACCAAGCACCATGGGCACCACCATGCAGGAGACAAGGGATGGCTGGAGGGTCAAAGGCAAATCAGGCCAGAGGAGGTCGTTGGAGGCGCAATGACCCCCTCCAAGGCCTGGGTCCAATTGAAGCTTGTTCTTGTGAGTTCTTGAGGTGAAGCATGGTGTATCACCGAAGCACCCAGCACCCAAAGAAGGTTAATTGCTAAATAGCTATAGGCATGTATATATTGTTAGGCTGTCAGGCCCTGGATCTGGGAGGGAGGAAAGAGTCACTGAGCAGGGCCGCTATCCTGAGCTCTACATGTTTTGATGTCTCACAGGAGCGAAGTTGAAGGGCTCGGCAGAGATGGGCGAAGGTGGCTTCGATGCACGCACGTGACGTCCGGACTTTCACTGTGAACGATTGCCATTCATTGTTGTATAGGATATACTGGGGTATACCAACAAACTTCCCTGCTTGCAATCGACATGAGACATCAGAATACATAAGAAATGGTTTGGTTGTGATTTGTGATATGTTTCTTTTTGCTTTGTTCTTGTCAGCATGCATTGCCACGCTGCCAACAAACAGGAAGGGAATGTCATGTCTTCAGCCTTAGGCCGAGCGAAAGTATACATTTAGTGGCCTCTTGTTCTTGGTGGTTAAGGTCACCGGTTACACTCATTTAGCATCCTGAAGGTTGGCCTCCACAGCCCAATTAATCCTGGTACTATGTAGCTGGTGCTCAGGAGGGAGCAACTGAGGGTTGCCGGGGGGTCTCCATGTTCCCCATTCAACAGGGAGCCGTTGGGAGAGCGACTGACAAAGAGTCCCCCAACCCCCATCCCCTAGGGTTTGATTCGCTTTGATTGGAAGCCAAGCACTGACAAGGGAAGCTAAAGTGTTCCATGCACCACCTCTGGGGAACTCACCACGGGTTTTTTCGCTTCCAGTCCCCTACCTCCAGAAAGCACATCCTAGGTGTCGAGAAGACAAAGAAAGAGCAGCGGAACGTGGTCCCAATTGGCTCCTTGCAGGAGTCCTGTAATTGAGTGGTTCCCTCACCCTCTCTACACTTTCGAAAGGAGTGCAGTGGAAACCTGCCAAAGCTCATTCAGAACCCTCGATTTGTCTATCTTCAAAATCAGGGGATTTCCTCTTTCTTGATGACTCAAAGAGCGCTACTGTTGCTCTGCAGGAGCTGAAAGCTGTGTCCAAAGCAGATCCCTGGGTGGGTGCTGATTGGCCACAGAAGAGACTCAGCGATATTGATGCGAAGTCTGTGGTGTGTTTGGGGCGTGTTGGGGCGATGGAAGAAAATTGATGACACCAGCAGGGGAGGTGTAGTTGAATCATGTTTGTTCATGTTTAAATCAGCTCACAGCTCAAGCACTTGGGTGATGCAGTTCATAGAGCTTGGATAATGCAGTTCATCCGGTTGAGACATGTTGACACCAGAAGTTTGCTGTTGTAAAAAAAACACGGACCCAAACCTGCCATGGACATTTTGTTTCAAGTTGCAAGCAGAGCATCGTGGAGCTAAGGAAGGCCAACAGCTCGCAATACGCCATTGGCGAGGACACTTGCCAGGACTGGGCGGCGCATGTGTTTTTATCTCGTGCCAGTTCTGACACGCTCAGTCGATCACGGTGGCCTTTGAGCAGTTCAAAGATGTTCGATGTAGATGACACCATGCAACCACACAAATATCGGATATCGCGATTGCTTTTGCAGAAAACTGCATTGGCACGTTCGCACGTTCTTTTTGTGCTTGCGTCATCCAGGTCCTGAACAAGATATTCTGGCGGCTTGTGTTTGTTTGCCAAAAGTGCTGGGCGGGTGTTTCCATCCCATCCTATCCTATCCCCAATCTTTTTCATAGCAAGTACCAGTACCAGCGGAGAGTATGGTGGGGTGAAAGTACGCACCCTCCCCCAACTCACACACACACAACAAGTTGGGGTAGTATGGCATAACCACCAAGCTCACCATTGAAAAGGTGATATCATGTGCTATACTCCCAGAAACAATCCATGGACGTGGAGTTCAGCACCTTTTGGGTATTCGGAATGGCTGGTCATCTGAAAAAGTGGGGCCATGCCGTCCACGTTGGCCCATGAGTCTTCCATGCGGTGTATTTTATTAATCTACAATGATATCAGAGTAGATGGCACAAACCCGAAGATGTCCTTTAGATGGGGATCCACATACAAACCACCGACGTTGGGGATGGATTGTGCAATCTATTCTGAAGTTTTTAATCCCATGCAGGCGAGAACATCCATCACTTCGCACCAACGACTTGTCCCGCAGGAGTGGGACTGCGCCGGGGGAACTGCCTGTCGGAACTCCATCGCGTCGGGCGTCTGCTTCGAGGTGGGACGGACCCGATTCGCTCATCGGTTTGGATCCAAGATGGAAGATCCGGTGGGAAAGGACAGCAGTGTTCGAGAAAACCTCGCAGGCCAAGACCAAGGGCAGCGATATCCAGTGCTTCGGCGCAGAGCGATGCAGAGCGAGCTCGGGAGACACCGCGGGACGTGTGGATGGGGTGAAACCGCTCTCAGCCAAAGTGCGGGTGGAGAGTTCACAGAATGTGAGATCGCCGAATAGCGGGCAACAAGCTGACCACAGAGTGACTTCTTTTGGCGGGCATACTTACCTTGCATGTTACATTCATTTGTCGTACATTGCATGTCACTTTCTTGGGTGGCATACGTTGGCATTGGATGTTCATCGACGCCCATGTTCGTGATGTTCGGAACCCTGGGAATGCTGTGGGTCCTCGATGAATCGTAACCAGTCCTATGCTGCCCAGCGACGGTGAGCGGCTCGTGATTGGAGGTTGGTGGACCACCAGGACCATCCGTTCGGGGTCAGCTGGCTGGGGCATCTCCGGGTCCATCCAGGACACCCAATGGAGGATGTTGACCAGCCATGCACGGCCGCCGGGTTCATCCGAACACGTAGAGACTCGACGACGTCCACGAATAGCAGTGCGAGGTTCGATTGGAAGCTGACGGAGCCGCTGCGGCAGAATCGCCGCTTGCGCTTCAACGTGGAGCAGTTCCAATGCGCCTCACTTGCAGCTATAGAGGGATTGGGTGAAGGGGTGAAGACGTTGAAGATGTGGCATGGTTTGAAGAGGGAATGAAAGCGGTGCTCTGTAGAAAGGGGGAGAAGGGTTTACGTTGGTGACTACTAAAGACGCCCACAAAGGTCTCAGAAGTTGGTCGGGACTGGATTTGGAGACCTCCAAAATCCTCCAAATATCCATACACTCCGAGTCACTAACATGGAAGTGCAAAATCACCTGATTGGTATTTGGAACATGGTCATCCAATGGGCCATGTAGTGTAGTTCTTGTTGAAGTACCAATCACTTTCTGCCAGGCACAATCCCGTTTTGTGTGGCCTAGCAGCCTGGAAGTTTCATGCTCTTGATTTAATTGCCAGAGACCAGATGTGACCAGTGATTCTCACCTCTCTCTCCCAGACAGCCGAGATGCCCGGTATCCTGGTGTGTCCAGGTGCATCCTTTTGGATAAAGGTCGCCTGAATTGTTTTGGCATCTTCTTTTTTTCGACACAAATCACCGGAGAGACCTGCGTTTGCCAGCCAGTGCATGGCCAGTGGCCGAGCCGTCCCTGCTGAGGTGGGAATGGTATGGGTGACGGTGCCTTGGATGCGATGATTGAACCCATAAGATCCCGTAAGGAAGGACGCCGAAAAAACCAGACACCGCGGTACATAGAACCGATGCCCTTTGCTCATGGTCTTCCTTCTTTTTTCGCATCTTTTGCGACTTACGGGATTTGTGTCCTGTGAAGCAGCTCATTTTGGGGTTGAACTCTAACAGTTGGGCCTGCCAGACAGATTGGTTTGCTTTTTTGGGGTCGGTAGTGACAAGCAGCAAGAGTATAGCTGGAGTTCCGGCACACTGAGAAAACAAGCAAAACCGAAGATGTATACTAAGATCATACACGAGATATAAGGCAATATAAGCTAAAAAATTAATGCTGCTATACAACATAGCTGGCTCAGCTCAGGCAGCTTGTACTTTCTCATTGATTAGGTACAATGGCCTTTTGGAGGTTTGCCAGGATCACCCCAATTTGGTAGGATTTGGGTCGTTCAACTGTTGAGCCAGGAAGGTCCAAGAGTTTGTGTTGGTCAATTCACTGTCAGCCCTGATTGAAAACGGCAGATGTTGAAAGCGGCCCTGATTGACGATACTCCTACTCCTCATTTACTCAATCATTAATTCCTGCTACGGAAGTGACGTGAACATACACGAACATTGTGACCTCGTGCTTTTCCTTGATCTTCCAGAGAACACCTGGAGCCCAAGCCACCCCGTGCCATCTGCCTTGCCGTCCTTCCGCTGTTTGATCAGGTCACACGGAGCTGAATTCGTACGATGCCAAGGGCGGCGAGTTAGTCTGCAGTTATTCCATGCCAGACCAGAAGAGCAGCTCGGAACGCGCCGAAACTAAACCCCGAGACTGGACCAATCGGGGGGAAACCCAGCTGGTAGGAAGAACAGTTTGGGAGGTGCAATCCTTTAAGGAGATGACTTGAGATGACACGTGTCCCAATGTTCAGGTTGGAGCATGTCGTTGTCGTTCAAACTGGTCGCCATAGCACGTTTGGAGATGAAATTGAGGGGAGCCCATCAGTGACAGGTGCCTATGCTCAGTGACGAGCCCCACTTGGATCGCTGTACAAGGGGCAGATTGACACATGATGGGTAATCATGGGTATAGATTTCCATCTTTTGCGCCACATGCTGCATGCTACTTTGTGTTCATCAATCATACAGTTACAACGTGTTGGTCAACCTCTTAAATAGAGGTGTTGTCCAAGATTCCCTGTTTCCCCGGTTCACCCTCTCTGTTTGACAGGCCCCATGAGCTTTCGGGCCCAACCAAATGCAGAAAGCACCAAAAAAATGGTGAGGGAATGCCCACAGCTCATAGAGGACATGCTCGCCATCTCGGTCCAAGGCTACAAAGAGCTGGAGCTGGTCGCTTGCAAGGAGCGGAAAACCGACGGCCCGACGAGTCGGATGTTCCGTGGACCGAGCACATGGCCCGTGTCAGTCCGACGATTCAGTCCGAGGTGAGACCCAGTGAACGGCACCTTCAGAGATTCCGAGTGATCGTTCACATTGATAGCAAGATTGTTTTGCTATGTTTTGTGGGATTGAGACCCACACAATAAGGGAAAGAGGAGGTGAGCGGTTGTAGTCAAGTTGTGGTTCCTTTTTGTTAAGAGGAGTTTGCTGATGCATCGGTTCTTCCCGCTTGAACAGGTACTTCTCAGGTCTGAGTGACCGGTAGTGTAGCGCTTGACTCAGGTCAGAATCGCCAACATGATCCACTGATCCACCGAGTCAACCCGGAAATTTGGGCACTTCAACGGCGAATATACATGGCGCTTCCGTCTAGAAATAGACTCTAGAAGTCCAATTTGCTTATAGTGCCTAGGGCCCCAAGTTCCGACTCGCCTTCCGGAGGACGCCTCCTACTTGTACTTCCGGACCACCCACTGTGAAGGGCTTCCGAGATTTACCACGATCACGTGGGTGAGTTGAAACGATCCGAGAGTTGTGTTGAAACCAGTGTAGATCGGTCTTTACAGCAAGAAGGGCCAAGGCGAGCAGCAACTGCCCAGTCGGGATCCAAAGGATTATCAATGGATTTTCAACTGGAACTTTTGCGCATGTGTTTTGCCACATTTGCTCATCCAAAGTCCGTTGGTCCACTTGACCCTGTTCAACTCACCTGTCTGGCTTCCGGCGGACAGAAGTGAGAATGAAGCGGCTGAAAAAGGGATGAGCAATTCTTCACGGATTTCTATCGCAGAGTGTCCTGCTTCGAAAGCGCATTGGGGGGTTCGGCAGCATGCCAGACACCACAGCGACTGGCGTTTGTCCCGGTTTGAACTTCGGACACGACCGAGTCGACTGAGGTCTGGTCTCAGTCAATGACATTCTGGGACCCAACGGATTGGTCTGGGAATTGGCCTTCCAGGGGATCTGATGTGAGGCCGTAGGAATTTCGACATCAGGACCAGGTCGGTGGGAATCCGATGGGCGCTCATCTGAGCGCTCAATTGAGGATGAAGCCAAAAGCCTTTCCAATGTCTTGATCTGAAACTATTGATGTTTTGAGCAATTGACAGAGCTACTTTGCAGGGCAAGCCGTATGCTACAAAGATTGATTAACTCAGTGCTCCTGTGCACACCTTAAGTTGACCAAAGAAATTAAAAGAACACATCTCATAAACAACGTTTATGTGACATGATATGGCAAATCGAAGGCAGAAATCGCTCGAACTTTCAGAGTAAGATCATCTTCACCTCAGCCCTTTGTGGTCCTTGAAAGATTTTAAAGTTATTGGAGCATTCCATGGCGTGTGCGATGGGCATGGGAACTGATCAAATCCTTCATCCTTCATCCTTCAGTGTTTGGTGGCAAGTCCGGTGCCCAGAAACCACCGGACTTGGTCGGGTTCCCCAAACATAGCTTTCAGATCGGTCGCAAAAAAAAGGACCCAGTTTGCAGCTTTTGACTGCAGCAAAGTACAACAAATGCATCTGAATACCTTTGGCAAGCTTGTCTTTCATTTGGGACTCTTGTCAAGAGTGCACGTCTTTCTTGGCCGTTTGCAGCTCGTCTTGAGTGGATGAAGCGTGGCTCGTCCTTGTTGCAGGGCGCAAACTGGACATGTGAAAACATCTTGCTCCACTCTCGCCAGGCTCTTGTCCCCTCTGAGTGCCAGCTCTACAGCCACGACCTTCGGGCTCGGGGCACCCATAAAAAAATCGGTGCATTCGTGAGGCAAGCATGAGAAGGAAGAGAAGAGATGGTGAGTGAAACGAACTACAGAGGTTTAACTAGTTAATGCACATCTATACATAAAACAATAGATCACTTTAAAAGTTTTAATATAGTCAAATATGGTCAGTTATTCTACACCGGATGAGAAGATAGCGATATCCAGATGGATTCACTACACAGATGGATTAAACTATTTATTTGGGTGACATGTGTTGACGGTTGATGAAATACAACGCTCCGGGAGCCTCTAACATGGATTTTCCACGTCTCCATATTATGGCTGGTTTTACTAATCAACCGTCAACATTAGAAGAGATTTGACCTCAAAGACATTCTTTAAAAATCGAGCCTTGAATGGTCATGAGAAGTTTGACCTTCTTTCCACTTAGATGATACCAACAAGACCAATAAGTCCAAGTTCTTGGGTTGTTGTTTGGCTTGCTTCCACATCCGGAGGGATTGCTCTTCCTTCGGTTCCTCATGCACACAACGGTGACGCCTTTGATTCCACCTGACACCGAGGCTAGGATCGTTGCCCATCGGTAGCTACCTCCTTTGCTACTGCGCGCCCGGAACAGGGGGCACCGTTCGGGGCGCCCAGCAGGCTTTGAGCAGAAGTCTTGGGACCCAAGGAAAGGGAAAAGACCTTGCGACCTGCAGCTCTGTAGTTGATCTTTTCAATGCTTGATCAACATCAATTTAGCTTGGTAACACAGAAGGAACACGGCAAGGTCTTATTCCAAATCACCCCTTGATCCCTTGAGGAACAAACAACCTTGCAAGATAGACTAGAATCGATCGATTGATTTGCATTTTGATGTGTCCACTGTTGATGGTGTCCATCAATTCACCTTCTTAGGTCACTCAGACTACTTATAGACTCTAGTCAAGCACCTGGCCTTCTGATCGCTTGGCCGTATCCCTTACGGTACTAGTATCCTTACGGTTTGAACCGGTTCGCTGTGTGTTCGAACGGATGGAACACACGGACCGTGCCATCCACACGCGGCGCGTGCTATGGCGCTCTGGGATCCCCCGAGGCGCCTCAGAGTTGTGCCTCGCCCGAGGCGGGGCCCCGAGGGAACGGGATTGGACCGAAGTTCTATTAGCCGCCGATGTTTTTTAGCCCATATTGGAAGGAGGGGCAGGGGTGTGGTCAGAAATGGTCCATCACACAGCATGTGGGGTGTGCTTCAAGTCCTGTCATTTTAGCTTGCTTGGGACACCTGGCCCAGCTCAGGGGCGTCAGGGAAGCCGCGCCTCGTAGGGACTTTCCCAGCAGAAAAGACACGCTCTTATATACATCTCCCCAGCAAAACATCACGTCACTCAAACCCGCTGCCTTTCCTCGTTGGTGCTTCCCACTTGACTCCACTTGCTCATGTCTCACGAGGACCTCGACACCAGCGCGGGTCAGCTGCGTGTGCGTGGCGTGACGGGTGGCGCGATCTTCGAATGTGTGGAGAACCTCTTGCGCCTTGGACTCACTGGGCAGGGCGCCTCACACGCTGCTTCAGGGCGCCGATTGGGTGGTTGCATGTCCGGTCAGAGTGACTTTTCAACTGCTGGGGGAAGAAGACAAATGAGAGGAGTCTTAATTGACCTTGGAGTGATTGGAGGCATCGCAGAGAGTACCCATGAGTACCCGAGATGGGACTTTAGTCTTGCAAAAGATAGATGATCGTGACGACACAGGACAAGAGGTTTGGGTAGAGAGTGGTAACGCAACACCTCAAGTATGAAAGTTCGCATCTTACAATGATTTACAATGTATCATTCCGTACATGCACCGTGGTAACATATACTGTGAACTACTTGAGTACTTGAGGGTGTGATGAACCAAAGGCATGTGTTGAAGATCCCCAACACGAAGGACTTTTTTCAGTTGAACCTTCGGATCTTCGCAGTCACATCTCAACAGCTCCCACCACTCCGTTGGAGCGCCGCCCACCGCTCCACAATCAACCCGAGGGCACCGTCCCTATACGGAGGGCGCCCCGCTCGGTGCAGGTGTCAGTTCCAGGTGCAGGGCTTCGACCTTAGGAGCTCGGACATGGTTTGGGCACCTCGGCCCCAGGTGAAGCGGTTTTATGGCGGGTGGCAGAGGGCGCCGGTTCCAGGTCGGTCGGGCGAAAGAAGGAGCAGAGTGGGTGCGGAGCAGAGAGATGCAGAAAAACAGGGTTATGGATGGTTATGGACATTTGGGGTGTGGCGACTGTAGCTGAATGATTGGACCCAAATATTCCCCAGACTGCACAGGTTGCTCTGGATTGGGGCGTCCTTTTGTCTTCCTCGCACAGAGGAACAACATGCGTCCAAGCGAGTGCTAACACATGGGAGGGTGGTTTCTGCCAGAGCCCAAGCGACAGACCTTCTCGATTGCAGGGTTTTGGTTGATGAAAATGATGGTTATGATCATCTTGCAGATGATCATCGACCTCCAATTCTAGCTGCTAGATCTTTGCAAAGGGTTGATGGAACCTCCTCAACCGCACCCATAACCCATTTGTTTCTTGGGGTCTCATCATGTCTCATCATTTGGTTCAACAAATGTTTCTGGTCCTTTATGTTCCTGTTGAATGCGTCCATGCAATGATACGTGGTCTTCGGCCAATTGTTGGGCGAGTTTCTCGCCTCGCATCGTAACTGGCTCGCCTGAGCTCGCTGTGCATGTCACGTGCGTGCTGTGGTGCCAAGGCGATTCCCTTGGATGGGCAGTGTGGGGTGACAGAGAGCAACTTCCAGGCGAAGCATCCTTTCCGCACTTCGGTACCCGATGTGACTGGTCTCATGAGCACAGCATGCCAATGCAGTGATTTGTTTTTCACCGACTAGGAAGGTGCTTATGGGGAAATCAGATGGAAAAAAGGAAAACTCCTCGCTTTCAGGGGGCTAGGGGGTATGGACAAAGGGTGCAGATTTCCATGCAAAGGTCGTATCAGTAGGAGTCTCTAGTAGGGTCATCAGATCTTAGCCCCTCAAGCCTTAAACTAACATGTTGCTTCGAGCTAGCATAAAATTGTCCAGGCCTTGCCGAGACGGTTCCGTGGTAGGTTTGAGGTGTCAAACCATCATATTGCTTTTTGATGCTTTTCGCAGCTACTTTGGCTTTGTGCGTCCTTCAAGTTGGAGGGAAAGAGACCTGCTTCAGATGGCCATGCGGAGGGTTCTTTTGTTCCTGACGGTGTGGGGATATGTGATGGCGGGCACAGATTTGCAGACTGTGCCGAAGAACTGTCAGCATGAGCAGACATTGGATGAGACGTGCACGACCAAGAAGTCTGATTTCGGCCAGTCCTCACACTGCACGAGAACAACCACATCAAGAACAACCTGCAACCGCTGAGCCAGTGCATTGGTGGACCTTGCCGAGCTTGAGCTGCTTGAGGGTTCTTACTGCTCAACGACGCAGACAGGAAAAGTGCGCAGAGCAGCCTGCTCCTTGCTGACGCCAGAAATTATGCCTGCTACACGCAGCACGCATTAGCACGCACTCCAATTGACTAACTGTCAATTGACAATGGACCTATTGTGAGTGCAGAATATCCCATGGACATGAGCTTCAATGAGTTTCCAAAATCCCATTCATTCGGTCGTGGGCCGAGTTGTGGATCGCCCAATACGGCCCAATACCTCGTGGGAAGAGGGTTCTTGGCTAGACCGATGAGGTGAAGAGCACAAACCAGATGTTTTAAGGCCGAAAAGCCTTGAAATCAACTTGAAAGCGAAAAACAATTGATTAAGGATGATTAAGGTCTTTGTATGTCTTTGTCTC